AATCCATACCGTGCTTTTTGATCTTCATCAGTAAGTATTTTAAGTTCTCTTCACTTTCAGTAGATAAGGTTGGATCATCTGCATATCACAGGTTGTTAAAGAGTCTTCCTCCAATCCTGATGTCACGTTTTTCTTCAGCTTCTTGGATTATTTGCTCAGCATACAGGCTGAATAAGTAAGATGAAAAAATATAATCATGCCGTACACCTTTCTTAATTTTAAACCATTCAGTGTTACCATATTCTGTTAGAACAACTGCCTCTTGGTCCATGTACAGATTTCTCATGAGCACAATTAAGTGTTCAGGATACTGATACATACTTTGCAATGTTGTCCATAGCTTGTCATGATCCATACAATCGAAAGCCTTTACGTAGCCAATAAATCACAGGTAAATATCTTTCTGGTATTCTCTGTTTTCAGCCAACATCCATCTGATGTCAGCTATGATATACCTCGTTTCACGGCCACTTCTGAATCCAGCTTAAACCTCTGGAAGTTCTCTGTCAATATATGCTTGTAGCCATTTCTGTATTACCTTTAGTAAAACTTTACTCGAATGGGATATCAAAGATATTGTCCAATGATTTCTGCATCCTGTTGGGTCACCTCTCTTTGGAATGGGCACAAATATGGATCTCTTTTAATCAGTTGGCCAGAGTTGTCTTCCAAGTTTCTTGGCAATGATGAGTGAGTGCCCTCCTGTGCCACCTCACTTTCTTAAAAGATTTCAATTTGTATTCCATCGATTCCTGGAGCCTTGTTCTTCACCAATTCCTTGAATGCACCTTGGACTTCTTACTTCAGTATCATTGGCTCTTGTTCACATGCTACCTCTTGAAACGGTTGAACATTAACCACTTCTTTTGGTACAGTGACTCTGTATATTCCTTCCATTTTTTGATGCTTTCTGCATCATTCAATAATTTGCCCAGAGAATCTTTCAATAACGAAAGTTGAGGCTTGAATTTTTTGTTCAGATCCCTCAGAGCTTGAGAAATGCTGAGTGTGTTCTTCCCTTTTGGTTTTCTGATACCAGATCTTTGCACATTTCACTTTAATACTTGACTTTGTCTTCTTGAGCTGACCTTTGAAATTTTCTGTTCATCTCTTGGACCTCCTCACTTTTTCCATTTGCTTTAGCATCTCTACACTGGAAAGCAAGTTTCAGTGTCTCTTCTGACATCCATATTTGGATCTTTTCTTTCTCTTTGTCTTTTTAATGACTTTTTGCTTTCTTCCTGTATGATATTCTTCATGTCATCCCACAACTCTTCTGGTCTTTGGTCTTTAGTGTTTAATGTATCAAATCTGTTCTTCAAATAATCTATAAATTAAGGTGGGATACACTCAAGGTCATATTTTGGCTCTCGTGGACTTTTCATTTTCTTCAGCTTCAGTTTGAATTTGCATATGAGTAATTGATGGCCTGTTCCACAATCTGCCCCAGGCCTTGTAACTGAGGATTTGCAGCTTTTCCATCATCTCTTTCCACAGATGTAGTGAACTT